GGTATCATTACTAAAAAATAATACAGAAGCCTTTTTCATATTGAAATTGATGGGTCCTCTGCCATTGACTCCAACAGATGAAAGATTTTACCCCATGCAAGTAAAAGAAATCAGAATATGTTCACCAATAATTTGTTAAACAGGAAAAGTTTCCAAATGCATAATGAATGTTTGTTTTGACTTTCACATCTCCTCAGAAAATCCAGTGATGATGAAAGACTCATCGAATTACTTGCTGTTCAAAGTGAATAAGAGTATCACAGTTCAACTAATTTTATATTAATGAGGTTGATCAGATGTGTTCCCTGCAAACTAAATGTACTGATAACATTTTGAGGTTCTAAAATGATGATTAATCTAAAGCACAACTTTTCTCAGAAAGCCACCAGTTTCAGCAGCACCTCCACAGGTTTTCATATGGGTCTCAGGGAGCCTTTCGGAGTGAGGCACTGTAGAAACTGGAGCACAAATGACCACGTATACCACAAGTCCAGGGCACGCAACTTAGTTACCTTGTTAAACCACGCCAGGCTTGTCACGTTACTGACCATCTTGTGTTCAAATTTTACCTTAAAATGTTGGCAAGACAGGAAAAAAAAAATCTGCTTTCTAGCACACTAAGCCATCTGGACATCTACGCTATGTTCTCCAGTTTATTGTTTTAAAGGCAGGGAGATTCTCACCATAAGCATCAACTTTAGGTTTCAGTCTGCATTATTCCTGCAAATCTCCTTTTACTTCCTATGGAAAAAGAGTTCTGTCATTTAAATTGCTATTTTCTTATTAAATCTCTATCCTTCTAGGTACAAAAAATATCCAGCAAACTCTCATATTGGCCACAGACTAAAACTTCAAATAACTATTGGACATTTTATTGAAACTTACACTTTCTTCATACTTTTTCCTATAGTCATAATTTTTACAGCAAGCACAGGATAGCATGAACAGAGTAACAATACAAGTAACAATACAGAAAACAACACAATATTATTCCTTAGAATTATTAGGACTTTTGATGAAACAATGGAAATAGAAATACCTTGCCTGCTCCAGTAGATCCAGAAACAGCTAATAACTCTCCCTTCTCAATCTTAAAGTTTATATCCTGAAGAACAGGATAGGCATGAAGGGGAAAATTACAGAAGAAGAGATTGTTGTCAGTGCCAGGAGCTTTGCTGTTGTTGTTTTCCTGGTTTGCTTTTACAAACAGCTCTCCAATTCCCTGCAACATAGACAGATGTTTATCCGTATGTACATAAAAAATGAATAAAACATGCATATGTAGACATGTATCTCATACAATGGACTTATGAAAACATATGAACTTACTTTTCTGATGCTACTTTTCCAATCTATAACATACTTATTATATTCTTAAATATATATATTTGTAATGTACATATTGGACTTGCCTATTATAGAACTGCTTTCCAATGTTTATACATGCCACAGTCTTATTCTGTTTTCAGTCTGGCTTAAATCAGAAATAACTACTTATTACAGGCCTTAGCACTTATTAAAAGATCTCTTCCAAAGTTTCTCAGCCATGGATAATTTTATATAATGCATCAATTACTTGCCATATATTCCTTGCCTGTTGATAGATTGAGCCAGTTAAAATGAAGGAGTGTAGGCTGCTCTGTTTAGAGAACACTAAGGCAAATCTTGGTAAAAAAGATACACTCTGTGTTTTAATTTAGTTTGGCTAAAAGTACTAACCTCATCCCAAAAAGCTGTTACTTTGTCCAGCTCAACTCCAGTGGTTGTTAGATTATACTCCAGGGCTTTATATTCTTTTTTCAGCAAGAAATCCTAGAAACACCATGAAAGCAGATGAGAGGAAACAGTGAGGGATGACAGCCCAATCACACAAAGCACTACATACTTACCAACACTGAGCACCAGCTAGTATTTCTAATGGTGCCATTGCATTGTAATGTCTTAGAAAGTGGCATAAATATAGCTTATGCAATGTTTTTGGATGCATAAGGAAATGTTTCTGAAACCACCAATTCTTTCATTGCTAGTGAAAACATAATCATAAATGTATTTGGTTCTGGTTTAGAAATAATATGAAAACTTGGCATTTCATTTGCTTTCCAAACTTGTACCAGGCAGCATCACCCCTCCAATCTTAATCGTTTTCAAATAAAGCTTTGGGTTTGGAGTAGGATGTGGAAGGTTGCACTCTGGTAAAGAGTGAAACAAAGCAGCTACGTGCTGCTATCTCTCTATTCTAAAACTGCAAGCATTTAAGAGAGTTATAATGATGTCTCTACCAACAACAACAAACATAAAATGGGAGATAATGATCCTGGCAAGTGCAGCACTGAAGTAGTGTGATTTAAATTACACAAGTCAGCACCTTGACGTTTGTGTTACCTTCTGGCATAATATTAGGAAAGAAGAGTAAGCCTATGCTAATGTAGGAAAGATAATGTCTCTATTCTATTATCTTGTTAAGGTTATGCAGTCTGTAGCTACCATCTCCTCTAAATTCTCTTTTCAAATTATGTGGGACCAAGTAGGTCTATGTGGGCAATACAGTGGACAGACTAAGCAGATATGAAGGGCAGAAATCAGTTCTCTACAGTAAACTTGCAAATTTCCCAAGTAGAGCAAGCAGAAGGGAAAAGCAGATGATTGAAAGGGCAGTAACTGAAGACCTGGGAGGAAAAACACACACAGTTTATGAGAAAAAACCAAACCAAACAAACAAAAACAACCAAACAAACAAAAAAATGGAAAAGATAGTTAGGTTTTAATAAGAAAGGAGGTGGGGTCATCCAGTGGAGTTGTTGGAGTAGTGAAAGTCAGAGAAAGCACACTGATCCTTAAATATTTCATGGTGTAGAAAACACAGGTCTAGCTACAGGGAAAACACAATAACCCAGGGGATATATTTGGCCCAGTTAACTCTCTAAACTGGTAAGGAAAATAAACCAGAGGAATGTATGAGTGGTTTATTATTTTTGTTTATGTTTCTTGTGACGAGTAAAGGACATTGGTGTTCTGAAATTTTGTGCAGTCTGTCTATACTGAACTGGGTCTATACTGAACCTGCTACAGAGAGATGATGATTCTAGAGCATCCACAGAGCTAATATAGCATTCAGCAAAGATAGGGCAATGGCACAACAACTGGGCTTGGCAGTTCTGTGACAGGGCATTGGATACATTCTTCCAGGAAACACGAGAGACAGGATACCTCCACTAACACCTAGGGAATCTGAGAGCAAAAGGAGTGCCTAAAGTGGGATCCAACAAGGCAGCCTTATGAATGTCCAATAGAAAGGTTTGTGGGTGGTTTTCTCAAATTTTCTGCCTGGTTGAAAACCATAAAAATCCAATACCTACTTCTTATTCTATATTAAGGTTCGAATTTCTGATTAAGATCTTTAAGTTCCTTATTTGATATTTTTATCATACTAAAAATAGTAAAATTTATGTTTTACCATAAAAATCTATAAATATGCAAAAAACCCCTAAGATTTCACCCCAAAATAGAATAAAAATCCTTTTCCTGATAAGTGATTTCAAAACAGCAGATAAAAGAGAGAGAGTTAATGAGAACTCACCCTGATTTGACTCTGCAGTTAAGCATCTCATGCTGGTATATGAGCAATTCATCTCAGTGGGTAAGGCAGGTAATAATTATTTGACCGGCACCTTAATTATGTTTACTACTCAGAATGAATGAGACACACATTTGCATAAGAGGCACAATCTGCTGTTCTTGCCATTAATAGCTAGGATCTGTGAATAGAAGATCTGTGACTGCAACTACTGGAAGCTGGGCTATATAAAACACGTACTAATTTTGTACTTCCATTTCTGAAGGAAAAATATCTCTGAACCACCACAGCTCATTATATATTTTTATTAAGTTCCTTATTCTGCAATGAGAAGATATAACTAAATGCCAGTGTTTTAAAAAAAGGAGCATGCAGTAGCATGAGATTCCTGTGGCTATGCTGCCTGGGGAACCATATAACAATATCAAGATTTATAATGACATTTCATGGTGTGTAGTCAAAGCAACATATAGCATATTTGGAAAGTCTGCATAAACGCTGTGCGCTTTTGTTGATCAACTGACAAGATAACATGCTATAAAGAATTAGCTTACGTACTTGGGAAGATTTTAGTGTAGGTACTCTACCTGTATTTTGTTTATTGCTCCAATAGAGTCATACCAGGTCTGCACGGACCCAGGAAACTGCCTGGTCACTGACATTCGAAGAACAATGCAGAAGGAAATGGTGGTAAATATTTTGCGGAGAATAATTCCTTTAATCACAGCATATGGAAGGACAGCTAAAAACACCACAAAAAACCCTGAAAAGAAGAAGGCTGAGCTGTTGAAATATCTCACATAAGCAGCTTTTCGTGTTAGCTTCAGTTCAGTTCTGTTAAAAAAATAAAAACAAACAAACAAAAAATGACAAATAATTAGTATAGGATTTCACAGTTTACATCTTACAGATATCTTGGATGGAACTGTTGGTAAAACAGTGCCCATTCCCTGGGGGAGTGCTCTAACCACTGGGATACTGTGCAGAAGTTTGCAGCTGCATTGGTGACAGTAATATGTGGTGTCGCAAGGCTGAGCATTATAACCTTTGTGTGTCTTCTGCTATTGAGACAGTGTCTGCTTGCAAAGTCCCTCCAGGATTTCAAGCTAAGTGGAATCCCTTTTCAGCTCCGCACTACTCATGCATAAGACTTTCATATGCACACTGCATCTTACCAGCTTTTGTCAGCCAAAGTGTTAAGTCCCTGACAGAAAATCTGAGCGGAGTCAGTTTTGAAGCAGGGTGCCTAGCAGTTCTTGTTAAGTCTCTATTTCACAAGAGAGGCCTGAAGAAAGTATTCAGGCATGCAGGTCACCACCACAGCTTTAGTCGCTGCCCTGAAGAAGGGGCCTTTTAAGTCCCTCCAGAGTTTGCAGGAGACTGTCAGTGGCAGCACTAAATAGGAATAACAGATTTTTGGGCTTGGTACTCATGCAGTCCCACACAAATACCTGAGTAGAAGCTACCAAAAATCTCCACCGTGCTGAAGCACACAGCCACTACTCCAAAGAGGGAGAATCAAAGCACTAACCCTTTTCAGTATGCTCCCAAGTGCCAGCCACAAGCTGACCCAGCCACAAGCAGTTTTCCAGAGTTGACTCTGTCTGATACAGAAATACAGAAATCTGGAAATTAAGCACTCATCTGGGACAGGTCTTGCTGATGCAATACAGGCACTTGGAGAGAGATATAAGGGACACTATGAGTCCTGTGCACATATAATGCATAGACTAGTGTATGAAGTTTTTGAAGTGATGCTTCAGGAATCAGTACAAATATATGAGCTTGAAATTCTTTGCTTTATATAAAGATGTCTCTTCTGCTGACAAAATACAGGCACTTCCAACCTTGGACTTCACCTTCTCCAGTACTATGCTATGGTTCAGGGAAACAGTTTGGAGTTGTGGTTTTTTACTTTTCTGAATACACTGCATAGCCCATAGGAATGCAAGTACATTTATACAGACACCTGTTACAAACAGTTATTATCAGTACAGAGGGCACACAGGAGACAGCCCATATTGGTCCCTCTGAAGCGTCACGGAGTTTGCCTGTGGCAGTGTTACACCTGCAGGATGGCTACCCTTGGTAGCTCAAGTCTATCAGAGCAAGGACACAGGTCTATCTAGTTCATTGGAGTTGATTAAATTAGGTTGCATCAGAAAATGCCAGCATGAAGAAGCAGTTTGGTAACAACTGAGTTATAACGCACTTTTGCTAAACTAGAGGCATGGCTTCATACACAGGCTCTCATTTCCTACCAGCTTAACAAGCCAACTGATTGGGAGTCCTGCAGGGTTGGCTCAGCAAGAAAAATTCAATTGAAACTCTGACATTCTGGGTCTGACCTCCTCTGGTGATGACTTCACCAAGTGACCCGTTGGATGACTTCAAAAAATACAGTATTTTGGTGCAGAGAAACAGAATAGAGATACTTTGATCTTGTGATACTGCTAGCATTCTTGTCTTTTTAAAATCCATGCATACTATAATAACAACTGAATTCCAGTGTTACAAAATGCACAATAAATTATTGTAGAAAATATATATCATAAAATGACAGTCCTTTTTCCAGGTTTCTGTGACCATTTTGTGGACTAAAATTTATTTAATTCATTTCTACAGGATTTTGTCACAAGATGTGGTCTCAGATATCCTAAAAGCAACGCATGTGAGTAATGACAGCAGGAGAATCCTAATTTGCTTCCATCCTTGAGCTGGAACTCCCACCCTGGAGTCAGACTGAGTTTTCTCTGATTGTTTAGAGTAAATCACTACAAATTTTAAGATCTGGCTTATTCTAAAGGTAAAGAACACTTCACTTTCCCTGGACTGTCTTTCAGAAAGCAGCTGAACAAGAAGGTGTTTGTGTAATAATATCGTTTCATCTCTTTTATTTACATGATAATACGACACATATTTATTTTATTTTCTTTTATTTTCCCAATCACACACCTGGAACAGAATTTTAATTCTCTGTAAAGGACTAAACAAACACACGGGACAGCTTTACTGCAGTGTCATCCATCAATCAATATGTCACTTCTCCTCCCTTGCCCCAGGACTCCCTGTCGGTAAGGAAGACCTCATAGCTCTCAGCTAACTAGGTTACCTCTTTCACCTCCTTTCTGCCTCAGGTCTGGTAGTTCCAGTTCAATCTTGATATTAATTGAAGAGACAGGCATTATACATGTCTATCTACAGACAATAAATGTTAATGCAATTGTGCAGGATGAATACATGAAGCTGCACAACTTTAATCCTTTCACATATTGCATGTAACATTTCAAACCAGCTTTACTGCAGTTCTCAGAAAACGGCTGCAGAGGACCCATACCCTTCCCTCCACCGCAGAAAAGGAAAGTTTGTAAAGCCTTAAGTACCATCACAAAAGGACTTTTTATTGTAAGTCGAGGACAGGATTGGCCAGAAACAAACACAGATACCACAATTGTTTTACCTGTGCAAGCTGACCGCTGAAATATCATTATAACAAATGAGGAAGCAAATAAAAAAATAAAAAATCTCACCTCCATAGTGTACTCGACACATTGGGAAAAAAAACAAGCCACAGTGTGGGAATGCACGGTTAGTTTATGGAGGATTAATATTTGTGTGCTTTACTTCCTAACTAACAAGACCACAGATGGTGTTCATAGTCACCTAATTTTTTTCTTCTGAGCATATAAAAAATTTGACTAACAAATGAGAACACTTACTCACGGATGCTTTCAATCATTTTTTCCATTGCATCTTCCCAACAATAAGCTTTAACTGACTGTATATTTTCAATTATTTCTGAGGTGATGACAAGTCTCTCATTGATCTTTCCCGCCCTCTTATTCCTAGAAAGTAAAAAGGTAGTAGGTCAATCTTAATCTTTTTCATCCTGTATATTTACTTTGTATCTCATTCTATCTTAAGAAAACACTTTTCCTATATGACTACATTTAAAATGTTTATTTTAACAGAATAATTATGAATAATGTGAAAGGAATTATTAGAAATCTAGTAATTGTTTTACTAAGGAGAAAATACAAGCTCTATAAAAGAGTAAATCAAGTCACTAACAAGGAGTTTTACTTCTACAAAGCATTATCAATATTTACTGCATATTAGACCTTTCATTTTAAGTTTAGACAGCTGCTGTTAAATAAGTAAAGGCTTGTCCATGACTTTCCCAACACAACCAACACTCTTTTGATTCCCCTTTTGTAGCAATATCATCACTAGAGACTCTAGAATCAAGTAGTATAAACTTCGTAAACTAATGTGTTTCAGGAAAATATACTGAAATATTTTAAAACAGTGTCATCACCTGTATTTCATCATCCTTTGTCCCAACCAGGCTTGGAAAAGGGCCAGGACTATTAGCAAAGCAAGTCCAGAAAATGCAGAGGCTTCTAACATATCCCAGAGCAGTCCCATCAGCAGTGCCACTTGTAAAGGTGCAATCCACACAAAATGAGCCAGAGCAAGACCCTGTGAAAGTCCACAGCAGAAAATAATAATAATACAAGCTATATTTGTGCTCTGAAAACTAAATAAAAAGGAGAAAGTCCTTAAAGCAACACTTTCAAAAATGTAATGAAGAACGGTACAGATATTTCCAGTAGTAAAACAAGTTTATAAAGGAGGATCTGTGATCCTGAGCACATAGCATTGTGGGTGTTAATTATCATGACAGTGCAGCAATACATATACATTCCACAGCTAAACTTTGATTTTTGTAAGGCAAAGTTCAGTCTGCAATTGTCTCTTCGCTATGTATATGCATGAGAAAAAATTCCAGCTCTGTGAAAGTAAACAGAATTTGCCACCGGTGCTGGCTTTTTCAACCAATGCAAGATGAGAAAAGTACACAGAAAAATCTTCTGAGAGGAATTTAAACTGATATAGGAGGCAAATATTAGTTTGGTGAAGAGATGACTGTTGTGTGAACACAACTAATTTAAAACAGATTGCTGCCTACTTCACCCACATTCCTTCACACTGGGGAGATTTTGGACTGAATCCTGTGATCAGGCTGCACAGGGGTCTGTGTTACTACAGTTACATTGCTGCAATGACAGGACACTTGTCCTAGCTTGCTCAGTGCTAGCTGACACTGCTCTACATAGTAATATAGTGCTTAAAGTAAATACACCCTACAGTTTCAGCCATGTGTCTTCAGACTCTCTGATATCGCTGCTTTCATTGGAAGCAAACTTCGCGCTACCAATGGACCAATTAAATCTATATGCTGAACGTAAGTTAATGGACTTTTCCATTAGCAGGGATTTACCTCTGAGACTTTAATGAAAGAGAAGTTTTACAGGAGACTTTGGAAGTATTGTCTAAGACAAGTATGTTGAGAATGATTCCTAATAAGGTCTTATATCAATGCTTATTCAGAATTTTAGGAGAATGGGTAATAGTAGCAACAGGATGCTGAACATCATCACTTGTTCAATGGCAGGAACGGACTGGACCACCTTAGTAACAAGGTACAGTGATCACGAAAAGAGGATAGAAGGAATGAACCAGCAAGTTCTGATCTCTGTGAAACCAGCTGCATAATCCAGGGGTTTCCTGGCAGGTTCTCACTGCAGAGCAAGCTTGCTTTCATGGTATACCTGGTTTTTAAGTTTCCTCTACTAATCAGCATAGGAGATACAGGTTGTCGTAAGTATCAGAACAAGCAAATCCATGACCATAGGCCAACACATTTTCTTAAGACAATAATTCATTTTATATCTACAATGAGCATACAGTGCAGGCCATCATTTATGCTCCTTCCTTCCTTAATATTTGTCATGAAAAGCTTGAAGTATTGTCTTTGTATTGGTGGATCACCAAGTGGATTAAACAATCGATGACATACCTCATCAAATTTGTTCAGATTGTTAGAAAGAAGGCTGACCAATTGCCCAGTACTTATTTTATCTAGAACTCTGCTTGACAGTTTTAAAATCTGTAAAACAAAACAAAACCATAGAAAAATGGCCATGAAACTCATCCTCAGAAAAAAGAATAAATACAGATAAAAATAATAGGCAATGGTACAGTAGTATAAATAACAATTCACTTATCTGCTTATGCTATAAAGTCTCGTTAAGCTTGTTATTTATGTAACTCGAATTTAATATAACCATTAAATTGCTTTACAAATATTGATTTATTGACTCAGTCCTTTCTTTTTGTTACATATTTCATGTATATAGATATATATGCAAATGCAAGTTTTAATTAAGCATGCATGCTGTGTGCTGCTGTGTATTGTCAAAAATCTCCTACTGTGCCTATCTTGACAAATATTTTTGAAAGATGTTTTCACACTGAGCTTTATACCAGAGTAACTAGCGTGTTTGCTTAAATTAGCTGCTTTTGTTCTTGGTAAAACCAAACAACTTTTAAAATCTTCGGATTTGTGAACATGCAGTGCATCTGGTGATTCTTCATGCTATAGAGATTTCAGTATCATTCAAACTCAATCCCTTTTATGTTATATTTATTGTTTAAATCTTCACCTCTAATCCTCTTTTAAAAATAGTCTTTGGCCACCAGTGTATGTTACTCTTCCTTTCCAATACACACACATAACAATGGTAGAACAATTAGGGCATCTCACCACATATCCAGCAAGTCTGAACTCACACAGAGGCTGACTTCAGTCAAACCAGCTTTAGACGAATGTTTAATTCTTTGGACTTATGAAATGGAGAACTGTCAGAAGCTGATGTCAGCCACATTATTCTTTTGGGTACTTTGTGTAGAAAAATGTTAGCCACATTATTCTTTTGGACCAGCTTTAGACGAGTATTTAATTCTTTGGACTTATGAAATGGAGAGCTGTCAGAAGCTGATGTTAGTCACATTATTCTATTAGGTACTTTGTGTAGAAAACTATCAATCTTTCAACAAACTGCCCTAAAGATTGCATAGGTTACAGACAGAGGTTTGGCTTTGCGTGTAAATGAAACAATTACCTTCTTATAAATCAAGCTAAACATAGCTATTCTCATTTGCATTCCTATATGATGAAGACCAAATATAGCCGGGTGTATGAGTAGTGTTCTCACAAGGAAGAGAAGGCACAAGCCAATGCCTAGGTAGTAAGCTATGGATCTTTCATCGGAGTTGTCTGGATCATAGGATGCTATTATTCTTCCCAGCAGAAGGGGTTGCACAGATTTAGTGACTTCCTGCAGATGGAAACGAGAAAAATAATTTTGGTCAATAGTCTGTTCCTTTTTTCAAAATGGTTAACATTTGAATTTCAAGGCCTACCAACTGAGATTTACAGCTTTAAATCTTAAGTGAGGAAGCCAGGCCTGTCTGCTGTGCAGAAAGTGGCAGTGATTGCATGGCAGAACAGACAACTCACTGCTGTCTTAATCTGCAGTGCTACTGCAACTCCACTAAAGCAAATCTAGTTTGTAAACTTTGTTTGATCATTTTCTAGAAAAGCGACAAATGAGATTAACTTCCATGATTACTTTTCAGAGCTGTAATGGATTAGCCACATCACATGACTGGATCTCTGTTTTGAGCCCTTGGGAACAGTTCTCACTGCACTTTACTGGACTTATAGGACACAAGAAGACTCAAAGCTCCTGAAATGAACACCATCAGAAAAACACATTGAGGATATAGCTAAAACATAAAGTGCATGGAAGTAGCAACATGGTATAAACCATTTAGATCATCCTGCTCAACAGTTCCAGTTGTATCCAGGGTTGTAACAGAAGCAGGCTGAGAAGTGTAAATGATAGGAGAGGCAATTTTAATAAAAGTGCCAGAGATAAACCAGTCCCTCCTGCACTGGCAGCCCCTGCACCTCCCATCCCGAGATCAGCAACATGGTAGAGAACCAGAGTAGGAGAGGAGAAAGAGGTGATATCAAACTGCTCAACTGCAAGACATCTAACGATCTGCTAGGGTCCTGAGTATACTCTTAGCTTGCTATTACATTTGTCCTCAACCTCCTTTTCTGTTGTAACTAAGCCCCACTAACATTACCTCACCTTTGCCTCCCATTTCCTTTCATGCCCCCATCATTATCATACTTTCACTTCTGTAACCTCATCCTTTTCCATCTCTGCTTCTTGTCCCCTCCTTCCTTCTGCAATCCTTCCCCAAAAACTGCAAAAATCATCAGTGCACTGTGGTCCAAGAATTTGTTTCACCTTCTGCATGAGCTTCTGAAGGGTATGAAGTGTGTATGTGCTCCTTTGTTTCATTGTTGTATTCAGTATAAAACACTTAGTTCTAAATTACTTAGTGCTAAGAACTTCTGTGCATGTCCTCTTATCCTTCTTTCTGTTGTATCTCAGCAGAAAACATCTGCTAATTTAAAAATAGCAAGAAACTATTGAATCATTTTTTGTAGAGATGGGTTAAATTCTGCCAAAAAGTGATTAGTACTGCCTTCCAGCTCAAAACCACCTAGACCACCATATAGAGACAGAAAGACATGAAAAAGTGAAGTTCAGCTGTAATGAATGGTTTGCAGTGATAAATAGATGGGGAAAATCCTCTTTTTTTCCTTCTCCTCTCAGTTCCTTTTGATCTCTTACACAAGAACAATCCCAAGTACTTCTACAACCTATACTGCAACACCTTTGAATGTCACTGTTGGTGGGGCTGATTCATCATTCACTTTTTGCACAGAAGAGATGGCATTTTACATCTCAAAGAGCATACCTGTGCTACGCACTGATTTCCCAAATTAAACACCGCTCTGCCCCAACACAAATGCTGCAAACCTGGAGACGGCTTTGACAAAGACTTCAGTGTTATTAGTAGGCAAAGGGAGGAGTGTTTATTAAAACACACATGACCCAAGGCAGCTGTGCTTAGACCATATGCACCCCAAAGCAGCAAACCAAAACTCCCCAAAACTCACAAAATACAAAACAATCACTTCTCAAGGACAATGTGGTGCTTTCATACTCTCAGAGATTCTAAGATAAGTTTTTATATATAGGCTTAAAATAGCAAGATTTTCTTTTTTATTTACTCTTAATCCAGTGAAAATGCCATTCTCTGCTGCTGTGTTTGTTGTGACTATAAAGGTATTGCATACTTGCCTAACTCACTGGCAAAAAAAAAATGATTTACAGACTAAGGGTAGAAAAATGGCTGGCAATAAGCCAAATCATTTGCTATCTCATGGGGCGTAAAAATCCACTGGTTTACAGTGGAGATTTATCACCTTACTTACTGAAGATATTATTATCTCGCCTACATACATAAAAGCAGAACTACCTGTTTTTCATTTTTCCTTTTGTGGCCTCGAAATTACCCACTGACATAAACATGGATAAATAAACTGATTAGAATGACCTGCCTAAAACAAGGAATGGGATTTGTGCACCTAACGGAAAATCCAGTTTTCAAGAGTTGTGTTTTTCCTTCTCCTGTCCCTGTCCTTCCCTCTGCATTCATTATAGGCCATTGAGAAACTCAGAAATGTCCCCCTCACAGAAATCTTAATTTAAAAAGCAAAGATCTGAAGAGAAATGAGAGTATGACACAGGATACATTACCAATCTGACCTGGTATGGCTATTCCTACGCAATGAGCCCTTTTACATTACGCGCATCCCCCATGTGCTCAATCACTCTACCTTTGAAGACAATAATGCACATCTCTGTTTTGGCAGATGCCCAAGAAGTGTTTAAGGACTTTCATATCCCTCCCTGTCTCCTCACTCACACCCGTGACCTATATGCAAGAACTTCAGGAAATCCTCATTAGGGTCCTTTGGGGTATTATACCAAAAACATTTCTAAGTTAATGTTAGCAGCTGCTGTGCCTGTGTGGAAATACACATCTCATGGCGATGAATATAAGAGAAAAATGTAAGCAGAATAAAACTGATCCTCACAACAATGTACCAAATTTGTTAGCTCATCTCATGCTAAAAAGCAAGAGTTTTGTTTCATCCTCATACTACCTTTTCTCTAAACTGCAAGACACGTCTGCTGATGAGGTGAAGCGTGGAAGCTGTTTCAAACAGTAGGGGAGCAGATACATTAAGTGCAGTAACTCAACGTGCAGTAACACAACACTGTTTATGAAGGAAGGCCATAGTACTCTAGGGGGCCAGAGCGCAAGTGTCCACCCTGCAATAACATCATTACCTGAGGGGAAAGGGAAAAACTACGAGACCTAATGAGAGCAAAGCTGTGATGCCAGTTGCAACAACAACTACACAAACAGCAGGGATGTCAGCAGAATTTAAACCACGCTCCAAGAAAGGTGCCGTGAAAACAGCTCAGGGATCAGACAAGAGAAAAGCTGGAAGGAAAGTGAAGTTCAAAAGAACACACAACTTGGTTGCACCTATGCCGATACGGCACAACATCCTGTCTCCGTTCAAATTAATGGCAAAGCTCCCATTAATTTCCGTGAGCAGGGCCTGAAAAGAACACCAGTGGCTTTAACAGCAAGTTTTTCCTCTTACAGCTTTCAATAAAATGAAGATTAATGGTAACAGAATCAAAAATTTAAACTAAGACTTAATCTTTCTGTGTTCATTGTGAAAGGTGCAGATTTTGTTTCTTAAGTGCTGAATTGCACATCTATGTTTTCTTAAATAAATAAATAAATAGATGGATAAATAAATAAATAAAAACAAAGAATAGAACTAAAAAATCCTGCAGTCCTGTTCTGGCCTCTCCTGGTCTAAAATTGTACTCCATTTAAAAAGCCCACATGGAGAAATCAACCCTGCACAGTCCCACATGAGCATGCTCACACACTCTTCACTTATATGTATTCTGGGAAAGGAAGTTATCCTCAAAATTGCCCACAAAAGCCCTCAGACACTACTTAAATTTTAGCAGG